GTACTGACATGCCTGTGTTTAGAAGACAGCTTACAGGTGAAAGAACATTGCGACTTAGTTGGAAACCAGTTTGTCAGAGTGAGTGAAGTGAGATGCCACGTGGGTGTGTTCAGTGACCACCTACGTACTGGCTAGACCCATTGTTTACATCTTTGAAATCAATTAGAAGTATCTGAGTCTTTTCCTGACCACCAAGAGTGACATTCTTCATACATCGCAAGTTAGTGGGACACTGAAATTCCCATTGGTGGCTGTTTTACTCATGAAGCTCTCCCACACCTGCACATGGCAAGTAGTTGCAAACCTGAGTCTCTCAGTTCCTCATTGTATGTTCAGAAGAAATGTCTCCTTAGAAAAATTAACAGAATCAAAGTTGCTCCAAACAAGCCAAACCGGTTACACTTTCAAAAGCAATTTGTCTTTTCTGTAGCCAGTCTCTGCCTTCAGTTTTTTACAATAATAGCTACAAAATGTCATTTTATAAAAAGAAATGCATCGCAATTACAAAGGTGTTTGGAGACATAACATTCCTGCTGATGGTAAATATTTGACCTAATTACAAGGTCCTAGTAGATGTCTCTACCTGCCATCACCTCACAGGAGACCATGTATATATTCAGCGAACCTGTTAGGATCTCTGGGCCTGTTTGTTGCTTTATTACTAACAGAAATTTGAAGAAATGTGACAGACCTGTAAACTTACTGTTTTTAAGTGTGAAAATGTGCCAAATAGATATTTATGTGTTATTTACTACTGAAATTGTTGACTCACAGATAGTATTTAGAGGTGGCAGGGACTTTGTAGATCATGTCCAAATTCTGTTTAATATATCAAGGAAAGAGACCAACATTATTGAGTGACTTGCTTAAAGTCACATGGTTAATTATTGTCAAGCCTCATAATCAGCTCTGTTGTTAAGACAGGTATGCACTGTTGGAGGCACATTTAAACCTTTCACAGTAGTTCCAAGTTGGAAATGCTTCCTTGTGTTTAACATAAATCACTTCCTGTTGTTGATTTTACTATGTCACCTTCATAGTACATTTCTAAAAGTTGCCTTATGTAGATTCCAGTGAGCAGCTACATAGTTGTGGGGCCCTTTGTTAAAAAAAAAAATCGAGACACTTTGAGGTGACAGTAAGGGGTCCCTAAACCAAGCGGCTGATGCAGGACCAACACAGCTTCATGCCCATGACATTATCTCTGAGAATCTCAGATGTTTTCCTGAGAAAATTTTCTTTATAAAGATTTGTGTACGTAACTACAGGCTTAAATATTCTTATGTGCCGTGGATAGTAATGCCTGTTACAAGTCAGGATCATTTTTCTCTGTTATTGAATTTATGTTGAGTAATTCTACTGATGCTTTTTCAGAAATTTCTTGAGGATGCCAGAGATGCACACTGGGAAATGAGCGGTGTACCTGGGCCTCTAGGTCTGGAGTGCAGGCACTAAGGTTGCTCTGAGTTTGAAGACTAGCACTAGCTATTCAGGACCCACTTTATTCATGGATTCGGTGCTAAGCATTCAATTTGTAGGATACTTTACAATTAAAAGCAAAGGTGTCTAATAAAGTATATTTCCTTAGAATCTGAGCAGAGGCAGCTTGTATCCATTTGTCTTTCACAGTGATAAAAATCCCTTCTATGGAAATACAAATATGTTGTAGCAGGTGAATTGATTTCACTTCTGTAAGATGTTAGTAAATGTGTTGTAACAGGTAAATTGACTTCACGTCTGTAGATGTTAGTAAATTTTCAAATACTCAGTGAGACAATAATGTAATTTCATGTTTGTGTTTAAGATTATAACTTCCTTAGCATTTCGTTACACCTAGTATTTCTTCAGAATTAAAGTCCATGTGTATATGAGTACCTTTAATGGTGGTAGAACATACATACAATATTTCCAGGCAAGCCTTCTTTGTAAAAACACTAAACCCACACAAAAATTATGTCCAAGTGATCCATTAAACCTGGGTGGCAACTTTTGTCCACAGACTTTTGCATACTTTTTTGGGGTCTAAAGATATTTTATTTCATAGCACGCATGAACATGGTAAAAATACCACACACAACATTTAATCTTTTATGTTTGTATTTTCATTGATACTAATCTTTAGAAACTTTCCATGTGTTAATTGTTGTTCATATATGTTTACTTTTAAGTCTTATATGTTTGTATTAGTTATTTTAGAATACAGAATTAAGTGTTGTTATTACAGGAATATCTAGCTTTCAGAAAGTAGGAGTTTTGAAAGGGATGCTATCCTGCTAGAGACTTACCTTTGAAACAGGAGTTCTCATTTGAGTAAGTTGATTGCTGCTGATGTAAACCTTACAGTATGAAAAGTGAGTCAGGTTTTCTTGCCTTGCTCTGTCCCCTCTTTTAGGAGGTAGGCAACAGTGCCACCATGAGAACAGACAGGTTTTCAACATTGCAACAGTTGGCTTCCTCAACTAGCAAAACCCCTGCATTTATAGAATATATGACAAGCCCAAGCATTTAAGTAGACATTTCAAATGCTAAGCAATACCAGTAGTATAATCAGATTTTATTGTCTGACAGTGAAATTCGTGTTATTCTTTAGTGACCCTTAGTAAGCCTTGCCAGGTCTGTCCTTATGGGTAACATAGGATTAACAACAGTTCATTTTCATCATTTTTAATGTGTTATAAGAAACAGTGTCAGAGAAGAATATCAAAACATGGAAACAGTCAAGTCTTCTCAGCCTGTGTACATGCTTCCTAGTGTGCATTTTATGGCCAGTGCTTTTTACTGACCCTTTTATATTTTGTCTTTTAATGAGACTAAAAGTGAACACACACACACACACACCACCACCACCACCACCACCAACAACAACAACAACAATTAAAGAAAAAGAGGTCATGAATTTGAAAGAAAGCAAGGTGTGTGTGGAGGGGTTAGTACATGGAAGGGTTTGGAGGGAGGAAAGTGAATGGGGAAATTTAATTACATTACAATTTCAGTTTTTTAATTTAAAATAATAAACTGTTAAGTTGATTATGGCTATGATGAGTTTAGACTCTGTTAAAACATTAAGTTTTTTCCATGTTCTGATGGCTACATGGTACAGTTTATTTATTTTTGAATGAAAAGTAGTCCAGTGCCCATCTTTCTGTTGGCATCAAACAGTTCTCTGATATGTTAATGTTGCATTGGGGGAGCACACGCTCAGGCTTTATTTGGATGCATTCCAAGTCTCAAGGAAAATTCTGTGTAAGGAACTGAATTTTCAGCATTGTCCCCTTCCAGTGAAAACTGATATTAACAGTCTTCCATAAAAGGAAACCTTCATACTGGGGCACAATATGAGCGTTTTCTCAACATTTAGCAAGACTGTGGTGGATTTTTATTATTACCTGTTCATCTAGAATATATAAAGATACTGATTTAATTGCTAATGAAATTGCAAAATAGTTGGTTTTCAAATGTACTCTATGGGAAAGAGTAACCTAGTATTCTTGTAATTTTCTAAGGACTTTTGGTTTTGCCGCAGCAAGTGGGCACAATGAAGTGGGGGCATCATTTGTTGCCTACAGAGAAGTGTACCGGCGGTTTTCTTGTAGCTTTGCCTTTTCAGCTGGTCCTCAGCCGGCCACAGGTGTGAATTGTAAGGGCTAGCTTTTTCACTTTCTCAAGTGCAGTTTCTTTGTATTTAATACCAAAAAATTAACTGGTTGAACTTTTCCAAATGTGGTTTTCAAATACAATAAAGAACTGGTTTAAAATTTGACATGTTAGTAAGTGCATATACTTCACACAGTTAAAATTGCCTGAAAGCTTTGTGGAAAAAGCTATTTAAGGGCACGATTTCTTCATGTGGGTAATTTATAAATGCTGTTCTTTAAGAAACCCACTGCACTTTCATTTTGAAAAAAAAAAATGATGTTTATGTATAGAATGTCCATTGGGGCTGAGAGCTTGCTTCTTGGTATGCTACAATCGTAGTCTCCTAACAGAATTAATGGAGGAGAATGGACGAAACTCTGTAGCTGTGGCTTGTGGTTGTCCTAGCAATTTCCCTTGTAGTCTGTGGCCCACTGTCTCCTACATAGCCTGTTGGCACTCCCAGCGTCCCAGTTAGAATCTGACTCTCCAGGGGGGTAGTTTCATTCATTCCAAGAACAGGCTTGCCTCCGAACGTGCAGTGGATATGCTCATGCAACTTTTTAGAGAAATACCTTTACTTCGTTTTTAAAAGATTACGGTATTTCAAGTCGCGAGTGTAGCTAAAATAGCTGAAAGGAAGTCTAGAGTGAAAACATCTGCCTGGAGCAGAACTGTCCTTTGTTTTTTTCATTTTGTTGTTGATTTTAAAGACAACGTTTTATGTGTCAGGCTGGTTCAAATCCCTACCTTGTACTTCTGATCTCTACCACCCGCCTCCCTCCAAGTGCTAGGTTTCCATTTCTCATCCCCTGTCTCTGCCTCACAAGTGCTGGGATTGCTGGCGTACAACACCATGCTCACTTTTTGTGGCTCTGGGGATGGGGTCTTTATCAGCTGAGCCAGATACCCCTTCAGAATTGTCTTTTAATGAGTCTAATTACTATCTCTTCATTACTTAAAACTGTAGCTTTTCTTGAAATGAAATTTGAGATAACTCATTTTATAGAAATGTGTTTTGGGGTTTGTGTGTGTGTGTGTGTGTGTGTGTGTGTGTGTGTGTGTGTGTGTGTGTGTGTGAAGTAGGTAGGCATTACAGAAATATAGTGGTCCATGGCTTCTGTTCACCTGGAGTAGGAAGTATAAGCTGTAAACTATTACTTCAAGTGATTCCTGGAGTCATTTCAGAATAGGAAATGATACTTTTTTATTCCTGGAGTCATTTCAGAATAGGAAATGATAGTTTTTCAAAACTAATAGTGGGGAGATAAAAGTTGATATTTTTCTGACTTACTGATTCTGAATGCTGGAGTTCGACTCTCAGAAATATGAATTCTCAGTCATTATTCTTTTAATATTTTAAACAGCATTTTAAGAAACAAAAGAGGCTAATTCCTGAGAGAACTGTCTGGAAATACTTCGTACAGCTCTGCAGCGCACTGGAGCACATGCACTCTCGAAGAGTCATGCATAGAGGTAAGGAAAGCACTAGGAAACTGTAGATTCATTTAAAATAATCTAAGCCATCAAGCAGTTTAAAATAGCTTCTGTTTAACCCACGGCATTACTCCTTTTTGGATAATTTATGGCCAAATTATAGTTTGGGCTATAAACCTGTAAGTGAAGCCCTACTTGCTTATAAATAAGAATGAAAATTGTGCTTTTGCTTGGTTTCTCTGAATGTCTTGGTAAAGACAGTTAGACTGTGGGAAAGCAGTTGAATGTGTATGAGGAAGAGGATTTGTTGTTTTTTCTTCAGATGAAAAGTGTGCTGTGGTTCCACAGACTGTTTCAATCTTCAGCCTTAGTCCTTAATATATTCCCGATAATCATTCCAGTTATTGGGCAGTGGCAGTCACTAAATGGCTGATCCACTGACTTGGAAGTGCAAAACATTGTGAAGTCATTTATTTAAGGAATGATGATTTCTAAAACTATCTAATAAATGCAATTCTTGGCACTGTTAAGCTATGATCTTATAACTGATGTAAATTTATGAATTAATCTTAAGTAATATGTTGTTTAAAATTGTTATAAAGGTGGCTTAAATTTGGTTTGTCTCTTAAAGTTTCATAAATATTATTTGGAAATAGAAGACATTAAGTATTTAACTTGGATATTAGCAGTCTTCATCAGGGTGTATTGGTGTTTATTGTAGGACTGGAAATTTTGAAATATATGAAAAATATTCAAAATATAGTGACTGCCTCACAGTTCAGACTTGAGTATTTAATATACATTTTTAATTCTTCCAAATATGAAATTTCCTTCCAAATTCCCGAAGTTATATTATCTTTCATTCAGTCCCTTCATTTATTCACAGATATAAAGCCAGCTAATGTGTTCATTACAGCCACTGGGGTGGTGAAACTTGGAGATCTTGGGCTAGGTCGATTTTTCAGTTCAAAAACCACAGCTGCACATTCTTTAGGTAAGAGACGCAATACGATTTCAGCCAGTTACTCTGTGTGTGTGTGTGTGTGTGTGTGTGTGTGTGTGTGTGTGTGTGTGTGTGTGTGTTGGTCATGGTTCAAAATAGATATGGCAGCTGTAGAGCACTGGCTGCATTCTCTAAAAAACTGTTGTAGAAACCAACCATCCTGACAGGTGCCCAACGGTTGGTTCCCTGTTACCTTTTACACGATGCTTGGATACTCCTGTTGATTTGACCTCAAGCAGGCCCTGAGGTTTTTGTTGTTTGTGATGACTTTTTAAAATAATGCTGATAAGCCTGGCTTTTACTGTTGCCATGGAGAGAGCACCTTGCATCTTATTTGTGATGGTTATGAGATAACTTAATGAAGAAACTGTATTTTGGAAGAAGACTTCACTGAACATTTTTAAATGCCGGAGGTGATAAGAGTTCGTACATGTTTACTTATTCAAAGGACATGTGACTGTGATAACTAGGAGAGAAAAACCTAAAGATGATCTATAGCAAATGAGAGGAAAAAACAATTCTCCCTTTACAGAGTGGAAGACATAACCTGCAGTTGATCATATTAGAGTCAACATTATTTTGATGTCATTCGTACCTAAAATAGAATTGGGGTAACGGCAACATTCTATTAGCAACGGGAAGAAAATTGTTTGGATAAAAAACAATAGAAATTCCTAGAAGAAACCCTTTTTAAATTAAGTTATAAGGCGAGTGTCTCAAGGCTCTTCTTACGCATGTAACCCACAGGAAATAGTGGATTCTGGGAGAAGAACTAAAGCAAGAGTAAATTGGCCATAATTTAATTTTGTCCATCTTTGCTGTCATGATTTCCTTGGAAGCCACTGATTCTTTGATAGCAATATTTAGATGTGAAATGAAAAGCTACAATGGGTCAGTAAGGAACAGTAACTCAGTAACCGGTTAAACAAGCACGCAGATGACCATCTGGTTAGAGACTTTCGCAGGCTTTTGTTTCTGGCTTTGTTCCTAAAATTCTGTGTGCCTTTGAATGTACCATTTGTTAATAGTTTGTGCCTCGAACAGAGTTTTGCGTCAGCTGACACTTCCCCGAACTTTGACTTCATCAGCTATGGAGCACATAAGATTCTACACTGATGCACTGTTAGGTTTTCCCTTTCACATCATACTTGGTCACACTTGTGATCACATAACTTCGCTGCCTTTTCCAGGCACAAACATTTGATGTGAAATTTCGTAGTAAAGCAACAGATCCGCATAGCACCTTGATAGAGTTTTGTTTGAGAAATTACAATTCTTGCAGTAAATGTGGCAGACGATCTCTAGGAAGAAGCTTTGGCACTTATATCAATGGTAAAGACACTGTCCCTCTGTGCTGTTTCCCTGATTGGCATGTCATAACAACTCCCTGTCATTAACTCACTTGAAACATTAGTTTATAATTGCAGGTACATGCACACAAATCACACAAGCCTGTGCACACATGCGTATTGTTTAATGTCGTTTTGCAGCCACTCTTGAGTAGGCTGTAGCTATCCATCCAGCCTTACTGACCTAATGTATAACCTGAAATCCAAATTTGAACAATTTGAAATGCACTCGGTCTACGGGTTATTACTTTTTGAAAGGGCCGAAATAGTGATTGCAAGCATATGTACATTTCTAGACTGGGGTGCTTTGTCAGTCTAAATCATTTGATATGGAGAATGCAGTGAATTTCCATAGATTTAAGAACACAGTAAGGAGTTATCAAATCAACTCTAATCATTTAAGTTCGCACATGCTGATGCCATGCTTACGGACTCTGAAACACTTCTAAACTGCAGCCAGTGAGGAGGAGGAACGAGGCTCTGTGGTGGTGAAACCGAAGTGAATGGATTTCTTCAGTAGTTTGGTTTTTCATTCCGAGAAGAAAACAAAAAACAAAAACTCTTTTTTTATAAAAAAAAAAAATCTTTTATTCTTGCTGGCCTTTTGTGCACAGTGAAGATTCTGATGGTGTGAAGTTCATGGTTCCTAAGCAGAGTGCACTGTTAGGTGTTAAATTTGAGCACTGGACCAAATAAGTAATCATACGTATCAAGGAAATGTCTCTGCTAACAAAAAATATGTAGAATATAGCAAGAAGAGAGATGCTGGACACATTTTTTTGTTGTTGGCAGGTTGGCCCCATTTTCTTACTTTTCGAGAATTATCACTCTGTTCATGTTATACCTATTTATTATTAGAAGCAGGTTTGTTTGCCTCTAATAGTTGAGGATGAAGAGCAATTGAAAACATGGCCACCCATACAAATTGATTTTGCTTATGAAAATATCATAGAGCTACCTTATATATTGTATATTGATGCATTTTCTGTTTTTTTCTTTTTTAATTATATACTTTTTATTATATATTTAAATTAGAAACAAGCTTGCTTCCCATGTCAGTCCCAGCGCCCCTCCCTCCCTTCCACACCCACTCCCTCTAAAGTCTGTGATGTGGTTCATGCTCACAACAGGCCTAAATTTTAGTGAAACAAAGTTCATAAACAAGATGCTTAATGCAGTTCATAATGGAGAAGCTTAAAAAACAAATGGAGGCCTGGGACTTAGCTAGTTGGCAGGGTGCTTGTCTAGCACGTACTGTGACCGGGATTCTATTCCCAGCGTCCCCATGTAAACTGTGCCCGTTGCATGCTTGAAATCCCAAGATGCGGGAAGTGAAGCCAGGAGGATCAGAAATGAAGGTCTAACTTCCCACACTCAGTAGTGACTCCACTGTCCTTCCTCATCAAGTGTACGTCTCCCACCCCACTTTGTTCTGTATCCTAGACAGTCCTGGGTTTGTATAATCACAACCTTGGAGCACCGTTTGTTAACTTCTGGAACTCATGGTCTAGATTTCCAACCTGAAGGTCCAGACCCAAGGCTCTGGACTCAGCAGCCCTCAGGTTGCAGGGGGTGACTGTATGAATGGTACCAGTTGTGCGTGTTGGCATCCAGGACTATGGCTGCAGGGATGCATGTGTTTCAACACTGGGGCCAAGGGCTGCTAGAAACACCTCCGTTTCATTACTGGTCTGATTTTGAATTGATTTTTGGTTGTGCTTTTAGCAACCTTTTGCTGTTGCCCAAGTTTTCCTGGATCTGACGTTTAACTGTGTGACCCCATATTCAGCTGCCACCCATAGTTTAGAGAACTGGACAAGTATTCATCTTTAGGGCACATATCCAAAACACAGAAAGCAGAAAGATGGCGTAATGTGCCAAGGAGAAGGCAGAAGGGCGGGGGGAGTATGTTTAACCAGGGTGAAGTGGGGCGGGCCTGTCTGGGGAGCTAAACTGTCAGTCAAAGGATCAGAAATGGGCTACTGTGATAGAACCTGGGCAGTGACTTCTCAGGCTCACAAGCAGGTGCAAGATGAACTCCAGGTTTGCTGGAGCAGGGGAAAGGAGGAGTAGGGCCAGATTTAGGAAGCTTTCACATTGTATTCCTACTCTACTGCCCAGACAAGTTTTCACAGGATTTTAATGAAAAGAATAGCATGCTCTGAGTTGAAGATAGCAGTCATGAGAGGCCTTTATCTGCTTCAGGTCAAGCATGTCTGGAGTTGTCTTCTCTGATGACTTCTTCTCTGTGCCAGGAGTACTCCTCCTTCCCTTTCTGAGCATCTATGGACTAGGAAGGTGGTTGATTGCTTCTTTGATCTGCGATGTGGACTGTTCTCTGCTTCCTGTTACATCCCTGCTGTTTCATATGTGAATTTAGGATTTTCATTGCGTGCTTTGCTACTGATTTGGGTAAGGCTGTGTTTCTAGGGAGACTGATTGTAGAGCATTATACTTATCCCCATGAAGTTTGCCTTGTTTTCTTTCATATTGTTTGTCAACCTCACTGATGTAACAAATGTTGGGAAACCTATGATCTACCCACATCTTTAAAAATATATGGTGAAGACACAGCTCTCTCTTGACCCAGTTTTCTGATTGGCTAGGTCAGTGTTTTTCAGATTTCTTAAGGGTAACTAACCACCAACAAAATTGTGACCCATGGGACCATAACCAAGTATTCTGGAACAGAAGTGGCAGGGAGCACTGTTCTCTATTACAAAGAGTAGAGTATTCTGACCTTGCTGTATTTTATTTCAATGAACACAATGTTGACTGCAAACTGGTGAACTGATTACACAACACATTAATGAGTTGCTTGGCCTGCATACTGGTTCCCATTTTTCCACTTGCAGACATTCTCCTAACATAGTCTGATCTGTTAGTCGTCAAACATAAATTAGCCTTGTATGGTGCTTTCTGTGCTGCTGCCTGTGGGCAAAAACACGAGTGGGGCTTCTGTACACTCTGCTGGTCTTCAGTCTAGGAGAGCGTCTATCCTGGTGCTGAGGAAAGCACAGAGAGGTGGGCAGGGCTGTGCTGAAGACCGTGTGTGGGTCTTTGACTTCTTAGTGTGGGGTTATTCTCACAGATTTAGTTGCTAGTCATAACAGTACTTACTGGCATGTTTCTGGCCTTCTGTTCAATCTGAGATTGCCGAATCTGCTGTGACCTTGCCTGTGAACAGTCTGCTATGAAAGACAGTTTGCTTTCTCTTGCTCTGGAGAACTGTTGCTGCTTCTGGGTTTAGGAAAAATTAATACAAAGCCACAATTTGAGACTTACATACACTTGGAGATTCTTGTTCTTCTGTAGTAACCCTATGTGATCATCTGGGACAGTCTGTATCATAACAGGTGTAAGCATACACCTGTAAAATCCCATTTGGCAGGTGCCGTAATGCAAACAAGTGTAACACCGAGTAGAAAGATCAGAGGGCCAGCATTCTTCCCATCACACCATTGTAAAAAGCCAGAGGTTTTAATGGTAGACTAAGCAGGTTTGTGATAGTTTAAAATTATTCCTAAAGTTTATTCAGGCTGCAGTGGCTTCTCCCTTTACTAGCAGACATGCTTCTCAGTGGCTTCCATTTTGTGGCCTGGGATGTAGGAGAGGAGAGCAAAGCCACAGGAGCAAAGCTTG